GGATGGTATCGGGTCCGGACTACAACCGAGTTCGCGATGGCTGTCTGCGTGGGGACCAGCTTGCGTATCGAATCGCCATGTACGCGATGCAACGCCGTCTCGACATCTTCAAGGATACACCGACGGCCCAGAGCCGCCTGCAATGTCGTACCGGTGTGATTGGGTACCGGTGCACACATTTTCATACGTCACATCGTCTACCAGCCGTGAACACGTCCCTGAGTGTGTGCAGCGCTAAACAGCCCAAGAATGTGCCCAATCACCACACCGTCGCAGAGGCCGACTCTTACGTCGACTTTTCCTACGGCAATCTGTGGTAGCACGACCCGCCTGCTTGGTCCGAACCACGCTGTCAATGACTAATCCTGTCCCCGTCTGGTGCTTGATACCCTCCTGACCACTTGCCTGGCCGACATGAGACTCCCAGCTTTTCAAATCAGTTTTAAATTCTACTTTGCATGCATGTTAAAATTTACATTGTTAATTCCATCTTGTGTCTTTCAGTTTTGAGCGACTGCCTCATGCTGCTACCATGTGATATTCCAGGATACGGCAATCTCTGTCAAACCTCACACTTATTATATTATAAAGTGTGCTTTTAGTCACACTAAAAGCCACATTGAGTTTTCTCTAAAGTCAACTTCTTCCTCTCCATTGTTATATATTTAGTGTTTAAAGTGTGATGAATGTTGCAATTTCTCTCGCGCGACCGAGCGGATCGACGTTGGCTGCTCTGCGCTGCGCTGTGCACGAGGCCTCGGAGGATTCGGGCCTTGCGTTGCGCTGCACTGCACTGTCCTTTTGAGTTTCCGCGTGGTAGATGCACATCATTGGCGTGGCTAGCTTCTGTTGCCTGCTTTGCTCTGTCGAGGGGCTGTGGCGAAGGACGGTACACCCCCGGAAGCCCCACCAGTATGAGTCGGTCGCTGTACGTCTTTAATATCCCCAATTTCCTGCCGCTGGAGCGGATCGAGGAGCTCTTTGCAAAGTACGAGTTTGCTTGTTAGGTCCCACTGAATCCACGTTACTGGCCTTTTATGCTTCCGACAGTAACGCAGCTCACTTGCCTTGCTTGCTGGTTCAGGTATGGCACCGTCGCCAACATCAAGCCGCTGCCCATGAAACGGCCCGACCAACCCCAGGCCCTTTTCGTAGACTTTGACTCTCTCCAAGCCGCAGAGGCCTTCTTTAACAACCCACCCGAAGTTGATGGCCATCGACTCCGTTGCGACTTTCAGTCTAGACCCCGGTACGTGCTCAGCTTCGCACCACGATTTCCCCCCACCATCCTTCACCAACTCGAGGACTGCATCACTCAGCTTTTGCCGCCTCATGCTTCCGTGTCCACGTCGGGGTAGTGCTCAACCCAACCCAGGTTTGCACGTGGGTAACCTGGACGCCAACATCAACGAGGCTGAACTCCGGCAGCGATTTGCTCAGTTTGGGACTCTTGTCGATTTTCGTGTCTGCCGAAAAGATCAGCACGCCTTTGCCTTTGTGACCTACCCCACCACCGAGGAGGCCAGTCGGGCCCGTGAACAGCTCAACTGCACTCGCCCCACACAGGCCTCAACTCTTGACATGGACATTTCATATTTTGCCCAGGACCGTCGGCGAGGCCCTGGTCCAGCCCCTGCCCGTGGGCCCCCGCGTGACCCTGCCCACATGCCCCCCCGTGGCCCGCCACACGATGCACGGCGCTTTTCACCAGCCCGAGGGGGTTTTGGCCCACCATCGGCCGGGCCCCCGCGCAGCCGGTCTCGCGAACGCTTCGACGATCGTCCTGCTTACGGCCGCCCTGGAGCCCCGGCTTTTTCGCGTGGCCCTGCACCTCCCCGCATGGATGAACGCCCTTGGCCCGCTCAGAGATACCCTTCCCATGACACTCCGCCTCGTGGAGAGGCTCGCCCCGATTTTCATCCAGGCCATCGCCCCGACACCTACCGTGGACCTGGTGCCGATCCTTCTATTCGATCTGATTACCACCCCGAGTCCACCCGATACCTCCCGCCCAGCCAACAACCCGACCTTCGAAGTCAGAATCCACCACCCAGGCGACCTCTCAGTCCTCCACCCACCTCATTTCGTGCAAATGATCCTTCTCCGGCCTGGCAAGAAAGTCGCGCCCCCCGTGATTTAGCTTCCCGAAGTGGCCCACCCCCTCAAAGCTATGGACCTGGCCCCTCCCATCCTCGCTCACTCGATCGGCCGCCGCTCGGTCCGTCAGGAGATCTCCGTGATCACCCTCGTGAGTCTCTACCAACTGGTCCTCCGCCGCGCCGACCAAGCCGTTTCTCCCCCGAG